GCTTCCCGCCCCCCCTTCCTCCCAACTAGCCCCCCCCCACGATCAAGTGTGTCCAGTATTTTGCGGGGGTCTACCTGGTAACCCTAGATGTGTGTGTGTTGTCGCTCCCTGTCACATGGGCAGTTTGTCGGTTTGGCTCAGTGCATCTGACCGTGGCCGGGGCTTAGTCTCTGTCTGTGTGTTGTGTGTGTGGGCTTGTGTGGCCATGGTGTGCGAGCTCTTTGTTGCTGTGTGTCAGGTATCATTAGACATGGGTGATTTTGCGGGGGTCTACCTGGTAACCCTAGATGTGTGTGTGTTGTCGCTCCCTGTCACATGGGCAGTTTGTCGGTTTGGCTCAGTGCATCTGACCGTGGCCGGGGCTTAGTCTCTGTCTGTGTGTTGTGTGTGTGGGCTTGTGTGGCCATGGTGTGCGAGCTCTTTGTTGCTGTGTGTCAGGTATCATTAGACATGGGTGTTTACGACTCTAGGTCCAGGCAGGGTGGCACCCACAGAGACTCCAGATACACATACATAGGCCTGGATCTTACAGACACACTGCTGGATCTTATACACCAGCCTGTATTTCTCTCTCTCTCTCTCTCTCTCTCTCACTCTCTCACACACACACACACACACACAGCTCCTCGCTGTGTTACTAGCTGTTCTGCTGTTCTGAGCGAAACACAGCATTGGCAGATGCTGATGGATGGACCCGCAGGGACTATGAAGCCCCCAGCCCTCAAAGACACCCTAGTATTACCCAGAACTCCCCAACCCTGGCTCCTAGCCCCCTGCTCTAGCCCACCAGCCCCCACTATTCACCCAGAGCTGGGAAGAGAATCCAGGAGTCCTGGCTCCCAAATCTCTTGTTCTAACCACCAGTCCCTATTTCTCTCCCAGAGCTCCCTGCTCTAACGAGGTGAGGCTGTGGCCCAGAAGCTGGGGGCTGAAGGTTGAAGTGGACAGTGAGGGGCACTTAGGCTCAATGCTCAGACCTTGGGGAATCATTAAATATCCTTTAACCCCCGGCCTAGGGGACCCAACATGAATTTTAGGGGTAAGAGGATTTCAGTGGGGAGATTAATGTGTGTCTGTTGGGTTGGGGGAGTGGGACACAGCAATACTCCTCACTCCCAAACTGCAATCCACAGTCCATAGCCCAGTCCTGGGCTCTCCCCAGCTCTGCCAGTGCCCCTCACTCCCGACCTGCAGCCCCTGTTAGCCCAGCCCTGGGTTCCCTCCGCCCTGCCGGTGTCCATTAATCTCTAGTCAAGGTTAGAATGCGGGGGACTGGGAGCCAGGACTCCTGGGTTCTCTCCCCAGGCCTGTAGAGCAGGTGGGTCTAGCAGACCAAGCATGGGGCTAGGAGTGGGAATCAGTGCCAAGGTTGAGTGAGAATGGCTGTCTGGATGCCAGGGTCCCTGGGGAGCGGAGGGGGGGCATTGCGTGCATGCAATGGTGGCAGGCTGGCTCTGGCAGGTGCCCGGGGCACTGGCAAGCTGGGCCGTCGCATCGGGTTAGCTATGCATGGCTGGACCCTTTCACTGCCCCGCGTGGGGTTGGGGCGGGGGGTTCAAAGAGGGTATCTGCCCAACCAGCCCACCCCTGAGAACCTTGCCCACAGCCCCCCTCCCTTCTGGGCCCCCACACAACCCCTCCATGGCTCCCCACTGCCAGAGACCCATATAGAGCTATCTCCAGAGCAGAGGGCCCCCCCCCCAGACACCCTCCCACTGAGCTGCAGCCAAAACCTGCCCAGTGATCCCCACACAACTCCATGACAGCCCGCCACCCTCCACAGGTCTGATTCCTGTGCTGGCTCTAAGGAAACTACCTCTCTCTCCCCCCTCTGGACCCAGGAGTCCTGATGTTGTAAATATCTGTAATAAATATTTGTGCATTAGATCCAGCCACTTTGGAGCAGCAAGCGGGTTACAGAGGGACCCCTTGCCAAACACTGAGATGCGGCCACCTCTGGGGTGGAGCAGATGCTTACACAGAGAATCACCACTCTGTGCTGCGATTCAGCCATTTCTGGGACAGTGTGTCTGGCCGGGGCATTTTCCAGTTCTGTCACTTCCTGTCTTACTTGCCCCTTGCCCCACATCTGGCTGGTCAGAACAGTCATCTAACAAGAATCTGGGTCAGCTCCTTTGGCTCCTTCTTCACTCCACCTCTCCCTTCCCCCACCAGCTCTTTCCTCTCCCCCCCCGCATGCTCCTGCCCTCCTCTGTACCCCCCTTCCCTCAATGTGTCATGTTCCCTCCCTCCTGCTGCCAACTCTCCCTCCCCCACAGGGATCCCCTCTAGGCCCCTTCACTGAGGAGAGGAGGCAGCTTTCCTTCCCCAGACATGATCTCCCGACCCCACTAATAACTCACACAGGACAGGTCCCGGGTAGGTGGGAGATAGCAAAGGGGAAGGAGATGGAGATGGGGGGAATGTTGGGGGAAGGGCAGAGAGGGATGGAAAGGAGTGGAAATGGTAGAGGGAGGTAGAAAAGGGAAAGGGAAAGGGAGGGGGCAAGTTAGGGAAGAGATGGGAATGGAGGAGGGTGGGAATGGGTAGAGGACTGGGAGGGAGAGGGAGGGGTCAGAGAAGAGAGGGGGTGGGAATGGGATATCCACCATCAGAACAGTGCTTATGCAGGTATGGCAGTCTCCAGCCACGCAAAAGGGGGAGGGGGCAAGAAGGAAGAGAGGTGGGTGTGGGGATGGGGAGGAGAGAGATAGTAATGGGGGAAGGAGCAGAGGTTGGAGGGGTGGTAATGTGGGAGGGGTCAGGGAGGAAGGGAGTTTTTTAGGGTCTGAGGTCCCCTTCCCAGGTTACACCCATCCCCCCTTATGAGCCTCATCCCCCCACCTTGCATTCCCCATTTCTCTTTGTGGGGAACAGTCTCTCTGGGGTGGGGGCCCTGGCTGACCTCCCCATGGGGGGCATTGCTGGGGCACTGTTACCATGGTGCCAGGAAGTCACTGGTTTGTCAGGAGACAGTTGCCATAGCGATGGGGGAAAGACCACCTGGGCCTGTGATGTGAAATCGTGGAGGGTGGAAGCGCTGCCACCCTGGTGCTAATGGGGAGGGGAGGCTGTGCAGGTGGATTCCCCCTGAGGAGCAGAATCTGTCCCCTCCCCTTCCTTCCCCTTCTCAACTGATTCTGGCCAGCCTCTCCCCTATCCTATCCCCTTCTTGCTGCTTCATCCCCACCCCCCGCATGACCCAGATGTCAGAAGCATCAACTCTTGGATTTCAAAAGAGAAAATATCCCACAGCAACCGCTGGACTGGAAGTGGGGTGGCAGCTGCTCAACCCGACCCTTCACACACACGTGTGCACATTCTCGCATGCGTGCACACTCACACACAGGCAAGTGCACCAGCCACTAGGGGACAAGCCCTTTACGGAATTTTGTGCCAGCTGACGGGAGGGGATGGTGAATGTGCATGGGAGGCTGTGCATACTGGAGTGAGGGCATGCAAGAGCCTGTGGGTGGCACAGAAGGGGGATTTGGCCATAAAAGTGTACAAGAAAGGGATCAGGGTGGAGTGCAAGGGGATGAATCTCAATGCTGTATGTGCAAAACACTGAGCGATGGACCACGTGAGGGAGCAAATATCCACACTGTGTGTGTGTGCAGGGTACCCATTGAGAGAGCAAGGGATTGAACCCCCATGCCGTGTGTGCAAAGGAGTGAGTGTGAGCAGGTGAATGTTCAATGGACCACAGGGGTGTGTTTTGCGTGCGCTAGCTTGCGTGATCATGTCAGAGTATTAGTGCAGCTCCTGGCCTGGGGTATGTGTAAGAGGGTTGTAAGTGTGTGCAAAGAACCAATCAAGACAGGGACCAAACATGTCCATGAGTGTACAAGAGTGTGGCAAGAAGGTTGGTGTGCAAAGGTGAAAGGCACCATGGGTGTGCATATGTCGTGGTATGCAAATAATGAAGAGTGTGCAAGGCTGGGGATGCTTTATGGAGGGGGGATGCAACTGTGAAAGCCAAGGAGGCAGTGCACAAGGCACTCAGGAGCAGAGCAGCTCAGTGTGCAAGGAAGAGTGTATGCAGTGGAGGCGGGACACAGAATGAGGCTCCCCTGGTGACTCTGACAAGTGGTAGGCATACAACAGCCATATCTCTTCACATACACACCTCTCATACATCCTGTAAGTATTTCCCCCAAGCATGTATACTCCAGCGTGTGCGCACATGCACACACAGTGTACACAAATTGGCACACCCAATGAGCACATGTCCACCCTCCCACTGGTTTGTCTCCTTGTAGCCATTGCTCAGGCACACTCACCCCTTTGGCTGTGCACCCTCGCACATTGCTCTATGCCTTCTTCACCCTGGGTCCTTACATACCCAGAGCATACACAAGCATGCCTTGAATATTCCCACAAGGTGCATGTGCATACAGTCCTTGCATGCATATACATGTCTATGCACATACCCCTTGCACACGCTCACCAGTCTGCACATATAACCAGTTAATGCGCACACCAGTCTGTGCAAAACTCCTTGCACGCATTTGCCCTATACATGGTGCCCCATTCTCTTGTGCATCCATCCCATCCCTGA